GACCCATGTGGCATGGCAGACCTCTCCTAAACTGCTCACTGCTCCCCTCAGCATTGTACTTCATCAATCTGCCTGTTCTGCTCCACACTCTGGCTCTGGTGAAGCCTCTCACCCTCCACATCTCTGGCCTGTACCCCAGTTCTGTATGAATAAATAAATAAATCTTTAAAAAAATAAATGAATAAATAAATAAATAAATTACATTCAGATATGCACTCCTAGAAGTCATGTCTGTCTGTCACTCAACCTCATCCTTGTCCACCCTGCACCAGAATTGCAATCCCTGAAACTTGTCTCCTGCTCCTGCTGCGCTGGTCCGCGGCATAAAGAGATTTACAGAAAAGGAGAGATGATCTTTTTTTCTTTTCATGCCTTCATTTCCCTCCTCTTTTTTCTCTCTCCCCTCCATCCTCTCCATTGCTATCCACATTGGAGAGCAAATGTCTCTCAAATAGTTTTATACTCTTTAGTTTCTTTCATTTTTTCCCTCTATTATGTACATTTCTCACAGAACTCGCTTACTACAGATTCTCTGGGTGAGTAAACAGTCCTTATCGGACTGAGCTTTGCCTATAGTAACATCCCGAATAAGGGAGAGTGTGACTTGGGATTTTGCCTTGACAGCCAGACTACTCACCTGTCCCAATGGCCGGGAGGCAAATGGACGAGTAATTCCGGTTTTCACTCTCTTGCAAAATACAGGTAACAGAGTTCTTGACATCATTTCCACCAACAACATGAACAATAGTCTTGCACTTCAGTAAACCACCTTCTGTGATTATGTAACCACTATTGCCCTGTTTACCTGGAAAATACATGAAAAGGCTGCAAAAGCCGATGCTAAAGCATGTCTTTGATTATTTAGAGAACAACATGTCTTGTTTATCAAATAAATTATTTTAAGCAGCTCAAAGACTTGAAAAACAGTCGTCAATGTCTTTTGAACTAAGATTTCTTTTCACTTTTAATTCTTACATTTGAAATTCTTGGTAAAACACATACTTTTAAGAACAATATGTTTCTTTTCCATCCCAAGTCTTTCCCAGGTCTCTGCATAGCCTCTTCTTCTCAGCTTAGCCATTCACATATGAGGATTAGAAAATATCATTGTGCTTTACCTTGAAGTTGACACTGGGTTTCTACATCTTTTCCAGCACCTTCTAAAATTGCTTTGGAGACTCCTATGTGAGAAAATTAAGATAGTATTGGGCACTCCATGGTGGTGTAATGAGGAAGGAACAGCACTGCAAGCTACTGGCAGCCACTTGAGTGCTACTTTGATCCCTGACCCCAGAGGTGACCCATGTGGCATGGCAGACCTCTCCTAAACTGCTCACTGCTCCCCTCAGCATTGTACTTCATCAATCTGCCTGTTCTGCTCCACACTCTGGCTTGTAACCCATTTCTGCGTGCATAAATAAAAAATCTTTAGGAAAAAAAAAAGAAAATTAAGATGGTATAAATGTGACCAAAAAATCAAAAGGTTACATTTAGATCAGAATGACTGTTCATTTTCTTTTCTTTTCCTCTTCTAGCTTTTTTTAAAAATTGGGGTAACACTATGATTTAGAGATATCGAATCATACCCTTCTGGTGTCCATCACCACACCAAACCCACCAGCAAGGTACTAAAAGTACTCTACCAATAGCCACTGTACCTCTCCCCTCTGTTTCAAGTGCCCAACTCCTCTGGCAACCTCAATTCTAGAGTCAAATTTCTGCGGTCTATAATTGGTTTCATTTTATCTGACCCTTTGTTTTTTAAGTTCCTCATATAAATGATATCATCTCATGATTTTCTTTATCTTTATGACATTTTTTGCTTATTTTAGTGCCTTCTAATTCCATCCATAATGTTGCAAATAGAAAGAGTATTTTATAGCATTCCATTGTGTGTGCATCTTCATAATCTACTCATCTGTCTTTGTGCTCTAGGCTTTTCCAAAACTCGGTTATTATAAATATGTTGCAATGAACAGAATATTGCCTATGCCCTTTCAATTGGTGTTATGAATTCCTCTTTATTTTCCATGTTTTCCCATCAACAGTGAGACAATAAACCTGGGTAGTTTTGATAACAAAGAACAATAATGCATAAAATAACTGTTATCAATTATAAGAGATATCTTAATAGTGCCCTCCCTGGTGATGCATGGGTTAAAAATGCAGCACTGTGAATCTTGCTGCAACTACTTCAGTGCGAGTTCTATTCCAGCCAGGGAGGTGATCCACATAGCGTGGCAGAACTCCCCTGGCCCACTCACTGCTCCCCTCAGCATTGTACTTCGTCCATCTGCCTGTTTTGCTCCCTGCTCTGCCTTGGTCTATCCTCTACCTGCTCTGGCACTTCTGACTGCACCTCAGTTCTGTATATATGAGTAAATAAATCTTTAAAAAAGGAGATGTCTAAATACCTTTAAAATAATTTATTAACACAGTTGGAGAAATCATCTCAGCTATAGCAACCATGGGACAGTTTGGCTGGAGGAAATTTCCTACATGGGATTCTCTGTGACGATTACACCACTCAAACCCAACATGTACAGTACCTGCTTTGAGATCAAATGTGTTTGATGTTGAATTGACAATCACATCTGCCTCTTCCTTGGTGATATCTCCTGTGGTCACCTCGAACATGATGGGACCGATCTTCATCATGTGCACTCCCTGCTGAGGGCTGGACACAGACCCATAGACACCTGAGAAGAGAAGAAGATGGAATCAGAAGCCAGGCTGCCAACAGCAAGAACAGTGCTGGTCTCTGCTCTACACGTGCATCCCATGCTGCTTCCCTGTCTGTGAGCTCTGACTTTAATCTGGCCCAGACCCTATGCAGAGTGACGGCCCATTTTGGAAAACGATTATAAAATGCAATACATATTACATGTAGAGTCAGACACTGGTCAAGGCGAAGCTAGCCCATTTGAGCAGGGCTCTCCCACTGATTACAAATGAAAATGTGTGAGGGATAAAAAAAGGCATAAATTGGCCCTCCCTGGTGGCGCAGCGGGTTAAAGCACAGCACTGAGAATCTGAAGCCACTTCCGCATGAGTTCGAT